GTGGGATCAACGTAGGTTGTATCTTGGCGGTTCACTAGGAGCTGTGTGCCTCTATACACATGTTAGTCCTACATGTAGGCTACATTCTTATTGCTGCATTGTACAGACAACGACAGCTTTGTCAACAATCCCAGCCCAGGGCTGCGGACTTGGTTCAAAGTGGGATTCAACGGTCGGTGCTATAATCACTAGCTCAATATGCACTCGAGCGCAGGACACAAGATGAGAATTAAATACAGGAATTATCCTTTCGCATGTTTTCCGTCAGCAAGTTTTCCGCAAGCTCTAGAAGATTTCGCAAATTATACTGGCGGCAGAACTATCAGCGAATCTCGCCCATTGTAAGCAATGCACATTTCCGGTGGGTTGCAGTGCTGTATTTCGTTAGGCTATCTTCCAGTTCGATGTATTTGTTGACCTTGAAAGTTTGCTGATTTGAACAAATCGTCCCTACGAAGAATTGCATTTAAGCCCACCAGACTTAGATATTCTTGACTATGGAGTGGTAGACTCGAAAACGTCGTCGTTTCCAAGAGATGGCTTTCATTCACCCTCAGTATATATATCTTCAGTAATGACTCGGGCTACCATCAAAATTATGATAGTTCACCTTGGGTAGTTTAATGGTAGCCGTCACTGGAATAATGGAAATGGCCGGTTTTGAACTTGGAGATGACCGTCTGATATCACCATCATATATTGGAGGTCTTTGATATAACTGACAGGGTTTCACGTACTTCGTTATCCGGTCAGTTGAGGCTACTGATTCCCAGACTTCATCGGTCTCTAGCTCAAGTTTAGCTAGCTCGGTCTTGCTATGTACCTATATGAGAGCCCACTGGAGTTCGACCACTCACTTAACTCTTGGAACTGAGGAATTCTTAAAGATTTTATAGCTATCGACTAGATGAGCAAAGTGAATTAAAAGAAACGGGGCACGAAGCAAACGGTATTGCAATCGTTTCCTCAGCAACTTGAATAGTTTCCGCGTCGTGGGCCCCTGTTTCCTCCACAGTGGTTCCAAAGATTGACATCTTTATTTCAAAGAAGACGACATCAGATGTGGAGTACTGTAACGGGAAACGGTATCTTCGAGTGACGCGTAATAACAGGACTTACGGGAAGGCAAAACGAAGTTGGAGCTGGGCTTCTATCCAGCACTATTACTGTAAGACGTAAGTTCACAAATTATACAGACCATGACGGTAGATGCTCGTTCAAAACAAACTCGAAATACAAAGGTATGAACCAAATGAGCAAACATGGGATAATCACGCGTGCATAAAACCGGCCAGGATTCGCTGGATGACTGCAAGGCCAAAAAAGTGGTAGGAACAAACAAACGCCAATTTATGTACACGCACTTAACACAAAATTGGGGCCAAGATTACAAATAAGGACAGAATAAACGTGGGGAATTTCAAACGTCAACGTAACGGACGTTACAGACCTGACCATGTTGCTTTGCGGTGAGTGTTTTTCAGCCTAATCTATTGATACTTCAGTCAGGAAATTCGAACAAGGCCTCGATGCTCCAGAAGGGGCCGGATCAAAGTAGAATACGGTGAAGTGAAATTAAACTGATGTATACAGATCGTTTGGTGGAGGGAATTGACCTTTTTTGGAAGGCCCCAATAAGAGACAAATGCATCCAAGCGAGACAGAGAAATGTCGTTTGGGAATGTGCGAGGTGAGCTTCTTTTTACGGTCTTCAGCTCTGGCTGCTCCGAATGCATCGTTTTGCTGCTCTCCTTCCCGCCTGGTTTCCGTGATTCATCCATTTGGGTACATAATCGTAAATGGCTGTGATACTCAGATTGCTCTTATTCCTCCATTTTGTTCCTTTTGCTTGCAGAAGAACACTGCTCACCACAGAATCGCACGCCTGACGTCCAACTTTCTCAGGAACGATGTCCTTTACGGAACTGCTTAGAAATCGAAGTATATCCGTGGAAGTATATAGTGACGTCGCACTGCCCACTGAGATGGGATAATTGAAACAATTGTTGCACACATTCAACTACGCTTTTTCACTTTTTCAGTCCCTCACCCACAAACTGCTGACGGTGGAAAGATCGCCACTGATGCGTGATTTTTGTTCCTAGCCGACAAACACTCTCCTGAGTTTAGCCATCTTGGTATTCTGCTGCATCTTTGATTTTCTCCAACAAATTCAAAATCTCTCTAGTAGCACCGACACATTTTCACTCATTGGCAGCATTTCACCAGCTCAGGGACTCCTAAATCAGGCCCCTTTTCAAAAATGAATCACGTCCGTCCGTTAAGATACACCATATACCATAGTTCTGGGATACAGGTAGTTGGATCTCTTCACCGTGAATATTTCCGCTTCACTATCTTCAGTTAAGCTTTACACTGCCCTGGTCATCAGCTCGCCCTACGAGCAGCTGTTTTCCCTTCCGGTCAATTTTTTTTACCAGATTGCTCAAATAACTTCGGCCTTGTTGTTCTTCAGTTTTGTTTCCCATACCTGGCACTTTCGCTTAACGTAACAGATGTGTCGTCTCAGTTTTGAGCCCGCTGTGGTGTGTTGTTTCCTGCCGTGTTCAAATTGTAACGACCTGGTCGCCAAAAACTGCTGGTTACTAGAAAACCGAAATAATTTTCCCCAAAACCATGAAGGTCCCATTGCCTCGTCCGAATGATAACAATAAACCAGGCTGCGCCCTCGACAATCCCAACAGTACCCTTGTACCTCACTGATCTCACCTTGTCACGATTACTCGGCCAGTTCTGACTCCTCAAAGCATTCAATTGAGTTCCATACGTCCCGCTGTTCCACAAACGCGAGCCTTACACTGGTGAAAAAGAAATTCTACGCTGAGTTAGGGCGGTTTCATCATATGGAACGTTCGGAGTGAAAGTAGGCTTGATTTGCTGTTCTTCAAGACCAGTCCCCATTGGAGTCCCTCAAGGCTGTGTTTTGGGGTCCATTCTGTCTTGATTCACTTGAGTGACCTTTCGGATGTTCTTTCGGACGACGCGAAATCGTGGGGTTCAAACGCCAGTGCCCTCCAAATGCATGTAGGCGCTGCAAACAACGGTCGTTGAACTGGCACCTTCCCCTGAATAATGGAGACTGTGTCCACATTTCATTTAGAGGAGACTCCGCAAGCACCTTTGTCACGGTGGAAATGGACTGGAAGATATTGAATGGAGACTGTGTCCATATTTCATTTAGAGGAGACTCCGCAAGCACCTTTGTCACGGTGGAAATGGACTGGAAGATATTGTGAGGACAAAAACCAAAAAGGATTTGGGTATCTGGTTCTTTTCAAACATGTCCTTCTCACTCACAATGAAAAAATCGCCTCAAATTGCATTCGCGGTTCTACGGATGATTTGGCGAACCTTCCCCCTTGTTACCCGCATGCACTTCCAGATGATCTATGAGCTTATGCCAGATCACTTCTTGAGTACGCCAATCAAGTGGTCTACTTCCGACGTAAGAGAATCCTAACCCTCGCTGAGCATGTCTAGCGGTCTGCCACGATGATGGCTACCGGCCTAAATCCGTTGATTACGAAATGCTTATCGCGGTGCTTGGCCTATTTCCCCTGGAGTGTCGTCATCTTTGAGGAGATCCAATATTTTCTTACACGCTGTTTGAATAAGGTTCAGCCAAAAGGTGTTTCACCGTTGACCTAACTGGTGCACGGCGGAGACGTCAAGATTTTCGAGCTCAGAAAACACCTTTAGTAGACAACAGTTTTTTTCTCATTTTGCTTAGTTGTTGCGTGAAATGCACTTCCTCTGACGGTTGTTCACGCTGTATCTTGTCCATAAACCCACCAATTCTTCCATGAGCCGTTGAAGATAGCACCACGCCGGGAAACCAGTAAGGATGCCCCCTCTGTCATTAGAAAATCCACCTGCTGCAAAAAGTCTCGAAAGTACATCGCGAATGGCTGGTTCGTTTTGAATTTGCGTGGAGAACGACGACATTATTACTGTCCAAAACTGCTGTTTCAAAACATTTTCAAATCCAATACAAGAAGGGGTACTGGGAAGAACCAACTTCTCCACAAATTCCTCTACCTTATTCTTAGACGGATCACACTAAAAAAGGACAGCCATTAAAAAGACAAATTCCTCGTCCAAACTAGACCTTGCTCAAACAGATTTTATCAAAACGCTGAGCACTGGAAGCCGGTAAGAAAAATGCCTTACCCGAAGTGGTCTTTGGGCTGGGCCGATCCTTAACGGTACATTCAAAATGTCACTGAAGCCATATTTCAAACAAAAACTTTTGACATGAGATTGTAGCACTTAAAAACATCTGTTTGAAACCTTGAGACCTTTTTAGACAATCAAAGCCTTGTCTTGGAAAACCAAATCAAAATCGTTTTAAGTACCCAATGTCTACATGGGGCGCGACATTTTTCTCATCGGCTTCCAGTGCTCAGCGTTCTTGGTCTGTACCCAGTCTTTATAGTCCAAGGTAAGCAGAAATGTACACGGTTGTGATGAGAAACTATCGTTGTCTATACTTTCTGGTAATTATCCTGTTCTTTCCAACAGAAGTAGGGTCACTTGATGGTTTGCCTTCCATTGAGAAGTATCATCTACCCGGATGGTAGTAATGATTATGCAACTTGTCGGGGGACCCTGCATTGCTTCTTCACTACGCGCATAATTGGCAGCCTTTAGAGTGAAGGACAACAAACAGACGGATGCGCTTGGAGGAGGTAAACGTAAGGTGAGGGTATCTGAAATAATGCAAGGATATTATAGTACTATACGCTAGTGATGTTGGACGCTCCAATGACTGTCAATATTGGCTAGCGGTGGCACCGGTCAGCTGCAGATCAGACGGCGTGACATTCATTAGGAAATCCATCTTATTCGGGTACACTATCGGTGTTGGCTGTGGGTAAACCCACAAATCAGACAAAACTGGCGAACTAGTGAAGACAGTCCTAGATTAGCGAATATACACTCATTTGCAAACTAATTTGGTTCTTTCGAGAGACTCACCTGGAACCCAGCTGAATCTGTCTCAAGTAGAACATGAGGCTGACGGAAACCCGGGGACTGTGCCTACCTGATGCGCCCAAAGAAGGGCGAAACCGGTCGTGGGCTGTCGATGGATTTTCGGCAACCTTATGAGTAGTACATTGCAAAGATATACAGTCCTAGACTACTTTGCGTATGTAACAATAAAATAGTAAATGTGATGCGGGTTTTTGAGTGTTGAACGACACGAAATTTCTCGAGGCTGTAAGAAGTCATTTGAACACAATTGCCCAAGTTGCGGCCAAAAGAAATGCATATGTAAGTCTTTATGAAATGCACGTACGTGTTTGTGGGTATGAATCTCTCAGAGGAATATAGGGGAGAAATTTTGAGCTGTAAAATTTAAACCGCTTGCTACAGCATGTCTGATGCATAAGTTGGATATTCACCGTAATACGATAATCCTTCAGAGCTTTCAGAAGTCTTAGCGGCCATAGTGATCCACATCAAAGAGCTTATGGGTTCAGCGATGTCACGATAAACTAGAGCTTCCATATAATTCCCAATATTGAACACGATTCAGCATCATCTTCTGGCTTTATAACCGGGATCCCTAGGACCGTATTTGATAACGACATATCTAGTCGCCACAACCAAGGGATGGGAATACCAACGTCTTTCATAGCTTGTCAATTAATGACAGTTGAGCCCAGCTCGATGACAGGAATACTGCAATGAAAAGTCACTTCTGACTAATCCTGAAAGAAAAATGCACATCGATCAAAGTGATCCTTAACACCAAGGCTATAATGTCGATTGTAGAAAGCTGTACAAAGCATCGCGACTTTCACTGACAAAAACAAAGTACTGAACAATCCCGACGAGTACAATGAATTAATACGGAAACTTGCTACTGGTAAAGTAGAACGGAAAGTGTTTTGCTCACCTGAGCTGCTGACTACCAGAATCAGACTCGACTGTCCGTCGCATTTCATACTGATGGGTTGGCGCGTGAACTAATAAAAATTGACTACACATGACCAACTATGTCGCATTTACCTATCCGAGCACGAACTCATTTTGGCGCAAGAGTTGAAAGTACTGAAAATTTGTTGCATGATAGTATATGTCCGGGACTGTGTGAAGCGTATGGTCAAAGGTGGGACTCTATTTGAACTTGTTTTCACGGAGCATGGTTTGCGTAACATAATGCTAGACCTACCGGTGAAAGGAAGAAGGCCTTTGCTGCGGATTTATTTATTAGAAAACGCCAACTGAACAGTTATAGGCTATTGGACAGGGAAACAAAACTCTCGTATGCATCTTGTTAACAAAAACTGAATATCCATCTTCTCTTTGAACGCGTCTTCCTGAACCATCCTGGATACTCATTGACTTTTGCTGAAATACAAGTAAAAACTACAAAGCGACTCCACAATTCCCGCAATAGATATCCCTTTTCAAGGGACGCAAAGCGGATTTACGAGAAAACATACTACTCACATTCCTCCCAATCAGTAGTATCGCCTTTACACTGGTACCGTTATTAAGTACGTTTTGAGTACCTTGATAGTGACTGAAGATCTTACAGTCGTTTTCAGCAGAGGACTCGATTCTGTTGAAGCATCGAGTGAGTGATTCTTGCAATTGAACGATCCCGGGGTTGGCTTTGAAACTAGTCTCCGAAATTGTGGAGATCGGTGTGAGAATGCAGTTGTGAACTGAACTCTAAGTACTATGTTTATCTTGTCGCTACGTTTGGTGAACTATTTGTCATTTATCAACTTGAAAATTTTTTGGTTGCACATAGGCTAACAGCAGTTGGCCTTCCAACAAAACAGTCCATGAACAATACGAAGAACGGTATCGAAATAATTCATATTTTTCCTCTAGGTGGTCCATATACAGTAAGTACTCTTGCAGACAACAAAAGCACCAAATATGGACTACCGTCAAAGTTTTGTGGAAAGACACCAAAACCTCCCGGACCTGTAATACGCCTGAGTCTAGTAACTCCATTCCAGCGAAATGGTGGCGCAATCGCTCACTATAATGCCGGCCCGCAGAAATCCTTGTGATTGAGTGAATTAGGTGGTCTTAAGAACTCGGCCAGCTGGTATTCCATATGGCACGCATTGCCAAAAACACTCCATTACACACCGCTGCTTGGCTCTATTAAGCATGGGTCATTCGAAGAAAGTACACTATATATTCCGCTTAGATCCAGTTTTCGACTTCCATCAGAAGACTTTCATGTTTTTATGGATACGCGGGGCAATGAACGATATGTGACACACACCACAGTTTATGGACGGTATATGGACTGTAGTCCATGCTAAGGGCCATATATAAATAGAAAAGAATTCATATGTGCCGAATCAATACTTGATAGTGTAAAAGTTCGGCTTTGCCGGTCCGCTAGGCAAGGAGAGAGTGTGTACAGCGAATGACACAAGAACATCCAAAAGGCATGGTATTTTTCCACTGCTCTGACGTGATTTCTGAGTTTCGTAGTCAACAATGCTCCCAGAAAAGCGAATAGCTAAGGTAAACGTTCCTAAGACAATCATAGTATGTAGTCCGACTGAATGCAACAGGCTCCAGTATAACGTTTTTGCCTCTTTGTTCCAGCCCTTGGATGCTGGGAGGGCATTTATTCTTTGATTTTCACCTGCTTTCTGACTTCCACGTTTGTTGACGTCAGTTGATACGGTGCCGACGGAGACAATGCATAACCGTTTAACAATACACCATCTTTCAGTGGTCAATAAATCTTTTATTCGCCTATGACGTCAATGCGAAAATGCTTTGATGTCTGCTACCTGCTACACTGCACTTCTCAATCGAACATACACTGTGTCTATCTTGAGCAGAATCACACGGAAAGTGTTTTTCAGCGTCACATGTAGTAAAACAAACAAACAAGTATGTTGACCCAGTGTATACGTTCTGTTCTGATACAAACAGCAAAGCTGTAGGGGAGTGTACCAAACAGTTCAAGACCAGATTACGAAGATGACACGTAAAACATTTCGTTATCTTACGCATAGGAACAGTTTCATTCGTTTGGTTTGTTCGGGATTGGGAGAGTCCGATAGCTGTAGCTAGTTTTAGAAAACTTGGTATGGCATTTCTATTTGACAAGCGCTTGAACTTCTTTGAATCCCGTGAAACATTCCTGTTTACAGTAGGGTTACTGAATAAATTTCATTGCTAAGCGTACCACATAGTGCATGTTGCAAGTTGTTTGAAGGACATTTCGTATAACCAGTCAGAATTACCATATTGGTGATCCTCCAATAGCTTCCTCACCAAAGATACCAAACTTTTGAAATTATGTGACATGAGTGAGGAACATCGAAATAAGACAACCAGCAAAGCAAGTTTGAAGCGTCAAATATTAAATGCGATTTCTAGAGCGGGAAATACCGGGTTCTATATCCAAGGTGAGGTAGAATGAAAGTACTTGTGTAAAACCGTACTCAGTCATGGATATTGCATGCCAAAAATCAATAAAATATTCCTCTTGACACAGAATTCTGTTTGATTGGTGTTCAGTCCAACGAACCAATCAGTTTCACTGCAAAAGTTTCATCGTCAAGCCTACACCGATATCATCATCCCGACTTGTGGTCAGACATTTGCAGTTCAGTTGGTGAACAGATAAACAACTAAGCATCGTACCCAAGCTGCCTGTATTCCAGACTATCGGCAACAAATTTCCGTACTAGAAAGACACCTCTTATCGAAGAAACGCGAGATTTAATGGGTATAATGAATGTTTCTATATCAGGTAAAAAAATACTGTTTTTTTCTCTGTAGACCCTAAAGACAGCCCGGACTTCCTGATTTTCTCTTAGTGTATGGTTCTACCACTTGTCCGAAATACCACAAATTTTCACTCAACCTGAAGGTTTCACCACTTACTGTTCAACATCAGAGCGAAGCTGATCACCGAAACAAGTCATAAATGACCCAATTCATTGACTGAAATACGTAACTGAAAGTTGTTTGGTCCTATGTAGTTACATAGGTAGTTAATCGTTCCAGTTAAGGGGATGGTAGTGAACAGTGAAAGTTGTTTGGTCCTTTGTAGTTACAGAGGTAGTTACTCGTTCCAGTTAAGGGGACGTTAGTGAACAGTGAAGTCACGTCCAATGAGCACATGAACGAATCATTCAGTTCTAGGTCCTTTACTCAGTCCACGAATTGAAATGTATCTCGCAAGCCGTATTTACACATGTGCCGCCGTATTGGTTCAAGTATTTTGACGAGCCATTGTGCGATTTGGTGATAGGGCGAGTTGTGCATGTCTAGGAATGGCCTCAGCGGGCAGTTGGGTTTGTAGATTTTTGGCAAACCATATAGGCGAGGCGTTGTTGACTCTGCGGTTTTGACTTTCTCGTAGGTTGTCTTGGAGACCAATTCATTTGCCTTAGGGTTTCAGACATGTCACCAGTTGTTACTGTATTACGAGCGTTTTATCTTCATCGTTGGCTGTCTGACTGTCTTGGTTGTGTCAGTCAGAATGTCCGTCATTTTTCGTATATAGTCAATTTTGTTCATCACGACTATTCCGTTCCTTTTGTCACCAACGTCCTGAGACTCAACGGATTCCCCGACAAGTTTATTACAAAGCATTTGAACAGGGAAGAAGCCATCACCATCACAGTCGCAGTTGGAAGAAGACCAGTTTACATTAGCCTCCCGTTTACTAGAGATATACCGGCCGACCTACTGAACAGAAGACTTTCTACCAGTCTGAACAAAGTTTTCCCGGCCGCAACACTACGAACCTGGTGCACCAGCAATCGTTTGTGCCCGTTTAATCTCAAGGATAGAGTACCTGTCCACGCCCAAAATATGTTAGTTTACTCNTCTTGCTGCTGTGCAGCGGAATACATCGGACGCACGACTAGGCAACTCGGCCAAAGAATGAAGGAACACAATCCACCCTGGCTAGCTTCTTGAACTAGGAGGACAATGACCAGTTCTGTGGCACAGCACTTAGCTGACACTGCACACAACGTGATAACCAGCCAAAGCTTCCGCGTTGTTTACAAGGCACCGACTAATCAACCCAGATCAGCCCAGCAACGCACAATTACGGTGGTTGAAGCTAACGCCATACGACATCGCGACCCGATCCTTTGTCGAAAAAAAACGCTTTGTTTGTGTGTTGTACTCACCATGGTCCGACTCACCTCCCCTCACACATGCACCCTGTGTTGAACACACAACTACAGCACCTCCCGCGCTGACAAGCTCAAGTCATCCTATTGTTGACCTGAACCAATTGTTCTTTGATATGTAGCCAATGTCGTCTCTCACTCGATTCCCTGTCCATTTACACCATATTCATTCAGATAATCTAAATGTAAAAGGTATAACCGTCGTATACCATTTGGTGTATACATTGTAGCAAATCT